GACTCTGTAAACCGCTTAGAGAGGGCTGAAAGCCCTATGAAGCGGTATATAAGTCTAACTATTGCTATTGCTATCTCTCTCTCTCTCTCTCTCGCCTCCGGGCTTGCGTGCAGGTGCGGCGGTTCGCTCGCACGTTTCGCTGGCAGGACCCGACAGTTCGGCCCCGCGGTGCCGTCCTCGGGATTTCGATTCCGCGATCCCCGCTCTCTCTCTCTCTGATTTGTGACGGTGCCTTGAAACTAGAAACCCAACCCGTCTAAAGGACAAGCTGGCAATCCGAATCGAACAGGGCAAAACTAAGCAGCGTGGATTCCGAATGCTCCCTGGTTGGATCCACACGTTCTATGCCGGGTTTTGGTGTAAACTCGGCCGGTTAGGGCAGGTTTAAGGTTAAGCGAGATGCGTGAACCGGGTTCAATGCGGACGCGGGCTACGCACCCTCAAAAGCGGAGTCCCGAAAGGGGGGAAGAATCTGGTTGCCCGGTTGCTCAACCCAATCCTGACCCGTATTTATTCAGAAGAAATCCCTTGCACGGCGAGTGATTTTGGCCTTTCATTCAAGCCCCTTCCGACTCCTTGCAGGGAGCCAATTCCTGGGTTCCACGGAGAGTCTTTCCGACAATTGTCCGCTTCTGAGCAGCCCGTAATGAAGGCCACTCCGGTTTTTTAGGTTTTAAGCGGCAGCCTGCTGAATTCAAGGAGATCTGTAAGGTTAAGCTTTCGGCCCTTCAGAGATCACAACCCACATAATCCCCAGCCAGGAGAGGGAAAGCTAATTTGAGCCGCAATGCTGGTTTTAGACTTCTTTTAGTCTGGTTTTGCTTCTATTCCTCCTTGGAGAACCAGCTGCTCTCAAACGAGGTTAAGCCGAATTTCAGCTGGTTGGCACAGACCTCCTTCAGCAACTCAAAAGCTCCAAAATGTTGTATTTTCCCCTAACCACTTTTTCTAAATACCATCCGGGCGTTGAAAGGCTCGAACGAGTTTGCTCTGTGCACGCAAATTAATTTTCCTCTGGGTTTCCACACTCCACATTGCACTATAAACTAACCAGGTTTATTCGCGAAAGAGGTAAGCCACGGTCAATCAACCAATCAATAGATTTGGGCTGGTTTATGAACACAATAAAGATCTGATTTGATCAAACGGGTTTAGCGTGTTCAGGAAATAACACCAAGGATTTTTTAACCGGGTGAGTTAATCATGCTGAGCAACCACCAATAAATTGCCTTTTCTCGCACAGGAGTCAGACCGTGGAATTCCAAATTAGGTACTTAAAAATAACCAATGCCTGGAAAGTCGGTTGCTTCCGTCCGTTTTATCCTCCTACTAGTCCCCGTGATGGAGCCCAGCCAAAAAAAAATATGATTATTTGTGTTATGTAGAAAAGAGGAAGGAATCTGATCCGGGCGTCTCTAAGTAAATAAAATATCGACGTGAATTGCAGACTAGTTTCTCCGAATCTGTCCGCGTTTCGGAAAAGCAGCGGGATTGGCCCAAGGTCACCCAGTGAGTTTCATGGTTGTAGAACCCGTCCGAATCTCCTCCGAGATGAGAGTCCATCCCTGGCTGGTCCACATTCTTAAAAAGTTGAGTATTTCCCCCACTCCAGAAGTTGCGAAATTCCTCCGTGAATAATTAATTGCCTGTGAAAATCCTGAGCATTGTTGGCAAGCTAAATCGTTGGCGATTTCCTCGAGTCAAAACTATTTGGACTTAAAGTCGCCTTCACCGCCTTCACCTTCTCCCCTCCCCTCGTTTGCGTTTTGCATGATATGCAGAAATGCATTTTATCTCGGGCATGGAAATGAAACGAGATCAGGAATTGCTGAAATCCTCCTGCTGTTATCTAAAGACGCGTAGAGTTCACGAGTTTTTGGTGCCATAAGGTCCATTTGGTCTCGCTGTTTTCCTAACACCTCAACGGATGAAGAACGTTGTCGAACTGGGAACTCTGCTCAGATTTCTAGCCATTCTATTAAGATTAGAACCTGCTGCAGACAGGAAGATCGATCATGCAATTTAAATGACCTGCAGTTGATCAATGCTAGACTTCTCTACCCTTTNACTGCACCCTAACCACTGTGCCACCTCGGCTCTATACATACAGTTTTCTTTGGGGCGATGATGGGAGGAGCAGAGTGCCTCCTACTGACCGTCATGCCTTATGACAGGTACATGGCCATCTGCAAACCTTTACACTATCCAGTTCTCATGAGCAGGAGGGTATGTGTGGCCATGTCGGGTGGAGTCTGGTTTGGGGCGATTCTTCATTCAATCGTGCACATTTTTTGTGTATTCCAGCTGCCTTTCTGTAAGTCTAATAGAGTGAATCAGTTCTTCTGCACAGTCCAAGCTCTGCTGAAATTATCTTGTTCTGAAACATCCACCTATGAAAATTGGTTATTCCTAACTGGCAGTATATTACTCTTGGGTCCCTTCTCCATCATCCTTGCTTCCTACATCTCTATCCTTTTGACAGTCCTGGGAATGCAATCAGTGGAAGGAAGGCAAAAAGCATTTCATACATGTCTTTCCCACCTCTGTGTGGTGGGGCTCTTCTATGGGGCAGCAAGTTTTAAATATATGAGACCCCGGTCTTACCGAACACCAGAACAGGATAAAGTGGCTTCTTTGTTCTGTGACATTGTGACTCCCATGCTAAATCCCTTGATATACAGTTTGAGGAACCGTGATGTGCTACTAGAACTGAGAAAGCACATTAAGAAATGCAAGTTGCATATCTAACCCACCTAACAAGGGCCACATCAGAGGCAATCAATGTGGTTATTTGGAAGAGAACATTCTTTGTTGTGCTTTTTTCGTGACGCTTTTGATGGTAGGTGTCCATTTTAGGTCTTGAGATAAGATAGAACTTAGAAATTTGAAGGTCTCTACTGTTGATACTGTGTTGTCTAGTATTGTAGTCTCCTAAAGTCTACCACTATTTATATGGTTTTGAGTGTGTTCAGTTCCAGATTGTTCAGTTGCACCATGAGGCTAGTTGTTCAACCTCTCGTTTGTATGCGGTTTCATCGTTGTCTCTAATGAGACCAATCACTGTTGTATCATCTGCAAACTTCAGTAGTTTAACAGATGGATTGTTTGAGGTTCAATCATTGGTATATAGAGAAAAGTGGAGAGAGCACACAGCCCTGAGGGGCTTCTGTGCTAATTGAACATGTATCTGATATGATTTTGCCTAGCTTCACCTGCTGCTTCATGTGTGTTAGGAAGAGCAAACAGCTGATAGCATTGTAGTTCTTTGCACCAATATTGTGGCCTCTACCAAGATGGTAGTGTGTTAAAGTAATGTTTTGGGGTAGTCTATCCCTTCCCATAAAGGTGGCATCGTGGCTCAGTGGTCAGAGACACTGTCAGCTGGAAAGCTCACAGCCTGAATTCGAGGCTCAAGTGCTGCACAATGGGTGAGTGCCCGTACTTTGCCCCAGCTTCTGCCCACCTTGAAAGAAGTTTGAAAGTATGAAAATGTGAGTAGATAAATAGGTACCACTTCGGTGGGAATGTAACAGCATTCCATGCACCTTGGTGTATAGTCATGCTGGCCTCATGACCACGGAAAGTGTCCTCAGCAATGTGTCATCCCCTAATTTGTAGTTAACGTCGATAATATTAGAATGAATAGAAGTATGTTGAGATAGTTTATATAAAATCTATAATATTGTGTAATTATGGATGCCAGATAGCATTGGCTGATGTGTTCAAATCACATTCTGCAAAAATGCTTTGCTTTGGCTAGTCTGCTGAGGCAGTGGATCAGTGATGGGTTGCTGCTGGTTTTACTACTGGTTCGCTTTTCGCGCGCTTTGCCCACATGTGTGTGCACAGTTCAATGTAAATTGTTATTTGTGCATGCGCAGAACAATTTACATTGAACTGCGTATGAGCGGTCACTAGAAAACAACATGGCGGCGGCATCAACAGTGGTGAGGGAACTGGTTCGGGGGCGTGGCAAGCCTGGATCGCCGCCGGTTCTGCGACCCAGGCAAAAATACCACTACCAGTTCGACCAAACCGGGCCGAACCGGGAGCAACCCACCTCTGCAGTGGATCTGTCTTTATATAACAAGACCATAAACAGAAAAATAAAGAAACAGTATAAACAATACTATTGAGGTTTAAAATATTTCATTTAGAAATTAGAAAGCATTATGGATTAGAAACAACAACAAAAACATTTAATTATAACCCAAGAATGTGCACATCATTGATAAAAAGTCAATCTGGACTTTGCGGTGATTAGAGTGCAGTGCTGCAGGCTGACAGCTGACAGCAATTTGGCAGTTCGAATCCCACCAGGCTCAAGGTTGACTCAGCCTTCCATCCTTCTGAGGTGGGTAAAATGAGGACCCAGATGGTTGGGGGCAACATCCTGACTTTGTAAACTGCTTAGAGAGGGCAGTAAAGCGATATATAAGTATAAGTGTTATTGCTATTGCTATTTAATATGGAATTGCAGATTAAACAAAAAATAAGGTCCTTGTGCAATACTAATGCACGTTTTGCTGGAACATTTTTAATGGGAAAGTTCCTGCAGGTGATGATCATAACTCTTCCAAGTCATGCTTCCAAGTCCTGACGTATTTTCTCAAGTTTCTCTTATAACTAGCTGTTTTTATTTGCATTGTCTGTTGGCAGGCAGCTTTTGATAGTTTGTCATTGTGAGCTAACAACACCATGAGCTGATCCCAAACTCTAATTTAGAATCACAGCCAAATGTTTCTTCTGTAAGTAAATTATTCTTCAATAAACAAGTAAATTCTTCCGCAATAAATTTTTCTTTTATGCATTGTGGATCCTAATTGCTTCCCTTATGGCAGTTTTCATGGAAGTGTCAATCCAACCATGTGGATGAGCTGTGTATTCACCAGCAAAGTAGATCCTCCCTTCCTTCTGGGCCAGTATCTGAGTATACTGGGTTATCTGGTATGGGGTGTAGGTGCTGAATGCTCCCATAGAATATAGATCAAGGTTCCATTTTTGTACCACGTATTTGCCACAGACTGATTTGAGATACTCTTTAGATAGTTGATGGATTTCCGCAAGGTCATCCATCACTACATCAACACACTTTTCATCACTGAGTGCCGTATAGAAATCAGAGTCAGTATACCAAGTATAGGATGCCAGAAGGACACCTAGTCCATGGGGGAAGTCATGATTTGGATAGTAAATCATTCGTGCTGGGAGATCTGTGACTGATCTCCCTCCGTGAATCCCCTCCTTCTCCCAAAACTTCTCAGTGCAAACCAAGGCAATTTTAGTAGAACTTGCATAAGCCAAAGACCGCAATGCCCGGGTCTTGGGAATGGAAAGAGGTGGCACAAACTTGATCAGTCGCACGGCTCTTGCTGTAGCTGTGATGAGGACATAGTCAGCAACTAGAGACATAGACCTGGACAACCATTTGTAGAAGACTCTCACTTTGTTTCTGGTGCGAAGTATCTTCTCCACAGTGCAATTGAAATGGACAATTCTAACCATTTCCCGGAAGAAACTTTGAGGAAGTTGATCAAAGCCACCAGTAATTTCATCAAAACTGAATTTGAGAGAAGGAAAAAAACCAAATACATGTACAGTTTATCAGTTATTTCTAGGTTACCCCAAAAAATGTTCATTGTTTCTGAAGACAATGCAATTAATGTCAACTCTGAAATGGGTCAGACCTGTCGCAGCCATCTTTCTGTTTCTGATGTTGACAGACAGCTCAGGGGACGGGGGATGGGAGAGGCTCAGAATACACACCTGCCAAAACAACTTGCTATCTCCTGGGAACTAAGTCATCCCAACCGCCACTGACTAGAGACTGAACACCATTGCCAAGGAGATGTCACAGCACCCAATTGGACAACAGGACCTGTGACCTAGGAGGGGGATGCTTAACTTTTAACTATGCAAAAGAGCGGGAAATAGCCAGAGTTCTTTTTTAAGCTCATCTATGCCCAATTGATGAGTACTAAAACTCATTGAGTACATTAGTGCTTTGAAGAAGATGGAGTTTCAGAGTACTGATTTGCTTGGGTTCATCAGTCAGAACCTGTTCTGACCCAGGCTTCCCAAGAGCATGAAGCAAACTCCTTGTCCCGACAAAAATCCCTTTTATTAATTGACTGTGAATTCTGCTCATTCACATCCAGCAAAGTCTTTCAGGGGAGGATTTATAGTCACAGACCTTATCTGGCTTGGAGAGTGGCCAGGCTGATATCT